TTTTTTTGGTGGTTCCCTTTGCTGTGTAAAATCTCTTTAGATGGATGTAGTCCCATTTATTTATTTTTTCTTTTGTTTTCCTTGCCCAAGGAGACATATCAGCACTACTAAGTAAAATACAGACAGACTCATAGATAGAGAGCAGGCAGACATCTCTGGTGAGGTGGGGAGGTTGTTGTGGGGTGAGATTAAGCAAAGAGAGAGAGAGAGAGAGAGAGAGAGAGAGAGAGAGAGAGAGAGAGAGAACTCATGGAAACAGTGTGTGATTGGAGGATTGGGAGGGGGTTGGGGGAGATAGAGGAAGGGATAGAGGGGATAAATAGTGATGGAAATTTTTTAATTTAAATAAAAAATAAAATCAAATAAAAGAGATAAGAGGAGTAGGAAACTTGGGTTGCACAATATATTTGTTTAAAAATGTGTATCATACTGAATATCCAGTGTTTGCCCGGCATTTTCAAATAACTTGAATGTTTTTCTATGTCATACCAAAAAAACCCAAAACTTTTGCTCATATAAAAGAAAAATAATTTTGATGCTTAAAAAATAAGTTACACCCATGAAATATGCTGCCATAAAAGCATTCAAGGAGGAATCTGGCTTTGTCTGAGGTGTTAGGAAAGTGCCCAGAGGAAGTGCTATGGAGCTGATCTTGGCAAGGAGGAGAAGGAGTTAACTATGCAAGGATGCGTGTGTGCACGTGGGTGTATGCGCACAGATGTTCCAGGGGCAGCTTCATGCTGGTGGGCGTGTTTGCGACAGGTAAGGTTGAAGGAACAGGATGAATGTTTGCAGGCAGTCCACAGTGACCCAGGTTGGGCTACAAACAGGGCACTGCGTGGGAGCAGTGGAAAACAAGGCCAGGCAGATGAGACAGGCCCCATGGCTGCAGGGTGTTTGAGTAATTGAGCCGCCAGCAAAAAGTTGCTATGTGTTTCAGGATCTGATGGATTAGAACAGGCACAGTACAAACAGAAAGACCACCTAGGAGAGGCCCTGAGGGGCTTAGCTGCTGCTAGCTGTGAAAATGGAAAAAGAATGAAGGAGCTCGGGAAGACAGTATCTGTAGGTATTAGGCAACTCATTGGAAAAAAAATCAAAAAGCAAGCATTGCCCAGCCTGCATGGCTTGGTGGTTGAGCCTCGACCTATGAACCAGGAGGTCAGGCATGCAGGAGGCAGCCAATCAGTGATTCTCTCTCATCATTGATGCTTCTCTCTCTCTCTCTCTCTCCCTCTCCCTTCCTCTCTGAAATCAATAAAAATATATATTTTTAAGTCAAGCATGGAGTTGATCTTTAGGGGGCAGATACTGTTAATATAAGTAGTCATGTCAGGGGTAGAAATACCTTTTGGATGGAGTTGGTGAAGGTGATACTGGAGGAGGTTTAAACTTACAGTATTAAATTGCATGGGTAGAGAGATTTATTGGAAATGCAGCCAGTGGCAACGTGGGTTGGATTGTAGAATAGATGTTCAAGAACTTTGATTCTTTCTAACTTCATGTCATTGCTTTATATCATAGATTTGGCTGCAGATTTGCATTTAGATACAAATGTGGTTGATCTTTAAACTCCTTGGTTCAGAAAACAAACCAGATTGGTTTCCGTTTTATTTTCGGTTTTTAAGATGGTTCAATTTGATTCTTTTTTTAAAAAAAATATATTTTATTGATTTTTTACAGAGAGGAAGAGAGAGAGATAGAGAGTCAGAAACATCAATCAGCTGCCTCCTGCACACCTCCCACTGGGGATGTGCCGGCAACCAAGGTACATGCCCTTGACCGAAATCAAACCTGGGACCCTTCAGTCCACAGGCTGACGCTCTATCCACTGAGCCAAACCGGTTATGGCTGATTCTTCATTTTATAGAAGCCACATAGGGTAGGAGGGAAGTGGGCAGGAACATGTTAAAACCCAGCTTTGCACTCGTTAGTTATGAGCTCTTCATCAAGTTACTTACTAGCCCCGTGTCTCCACTTCCTCTTCGTCAGAAAGGGCTTCCTATTAAATAACTTGTGGAGAGGAAGCAATGAGTTAGTCCTGTGCTGTACTTGGAACAGTGCCTGGCACCTGAGAAGAACACAATGTTGTTACGGTTTCTAAAAAGAAAATATCAGATAATGTGAAACTAGATAAATAGAACTCAATTTGATTTTGTTTCCTTGGAGTTAAATGAGAACTCAACACCACAATTCCATGTTTTACTCACACTTCCTTATCAGAAATAAAGTGAGGTCAAGCAGGGCTCTCTAAGCACGATGTCCTCCGGGTTCATCCGTGTTGTCACAAATGGCATGATTTCCTTCTTTTTAAAGCGCAATAATATTTCATTGTAATATTCCCATGTTCTTTATTTACTTACTGGTTGATGGTCACAAGTTGTTTCCATATCTTGCATACTGTGAATGATGATGCAATCCCTGAGATGGGGATGCAGCTATCTCTTTGAGATCCTGATTTCATTTCCTTCAGATGTGTACCCTGAAATGGAATTGCTTGATCATATGGTAGTTCAGTTTTTAATTTTGGGGGGAACCGTTTTCCCCCAGTAGCTGCACCGATTTACATTTCCACCAGCAGTGCATGAAGGTTCCCTTTTCTCTACATTCCCATCAATACTTGTTATCTCTTTTATTTTCTGATAATAGAAAAATCATAAAAGTAGGGCTCTCTTCGTGCAAGTGTGAGGGCGCTTGTGCCTTCGCACTGCCTTGGCTGACCTAGTTAATTCAAGTTCAGAAGATTTAGGAACTAAAATATGCAATTATTTAAAATAAGTGATTCAGAACATAAACATTTTAGAGAAAAAATGCCAATCTCTAAAACTCTTTGTTTTCATAGCAACTAAGAATTGGCCTCCCCTCCGCTGCCTTTTTAATTTTGTTCTCTTCTTTTCTATGCTGCTGTTGTCAGTGATGAGCAGAAATCTGCTGCAGCAAACCTAAGAAAAGAAGCCCTCAATACTTAGAGGGCTGATGCCCAGCCAAGTCCTACTTAGTGATGGGCAGACTAAGGTGCAAGAGTAATTTTTCCCCCCACTAATGCATATCTTAGAGTGATGTGATTTTTAAAGTGATATACTACAGAAGAAGGCACCTACATAGCATGATCTAATAATCATGTAGATGTTTCTTTTTAAAATCCTAGCCTTCTGAAAACATTTACATTCTAATCCGTTTAATCACACTGATGTGGTGCTGTGGCGTTCATACATTATGTTTCAGGTTTTCTATAACATTATGCTACCTTTGAAGAAAATCTGTGTACCATGGAGTCATTTTTCAAGTTATTAGTTTTATCAGATGTACATTTAAACAGATACTGGCATTTTTAATTTCTTGAGGACTAAACGAAAGGCTAAGAATATTCTACTTTTGAACATCTTTTTCTGTTTTTGTTTTTGCATGTATGTGTACTGTGTTCACCTTTTTACAAATCCACATTTTTTTCTTTTTTAAAAAAACAACTATACTATAGCAAGGAATATTTTTTTATTTTTATTGAATTTAGTGGGATGACATTGGTTAATAAAATTACATAGGTTTCAGGTGCACTGTTTTATATCATCTGCGTGTTCAACACTCCAGTGGGAGGAGACTTGAGTTGGAATGGCGACCACAATTTTTCTGTTGATTACAAGGTGCTAGGCTTCATTGTTCTGTGACATCCTCTTGTTTTGATAGCATGATCAGATTTGCATGTCCCCTTCAGCAATTGTGGAGATGCTGAGGATTGTGATAGACCACATCAAATCTAGTTCTGATATGGGCGTGGCTTTTGAAAAGCCACCGGCCAATATTTATTTTCAAAGATACAACTGGCTCTTTGTGAAGCACTGTCACTAGAGTGGTCCTGTTTTCATCGGATCATTACATGAGAAGAGTGTGTCTATATACGTTCCACTTTTATTTTAATAAACTTCCATTGTCCTCTACCTCAAGACCTTTGGCCAAGAACCATAATCCATATTTGATAGTTTTACTCTCCTCCGTAGTTCTATGAATGAGTAGGGTTATCTATGAAATTTGTCGGTTTATCTAGATTGTGGCCAAGCTGACCTCACAGCATAGGCTTGTTGTTTGGTCTCACCCTGAGTTCAGAAGCCAGTTTTCTCATTTTCCTCTGGATCATGCATAAGAACCAAAGATCCCTCCATGCAAGTTAGAGTGACCCTTTAGACATCAAGGCAACATTCCCCATATTGGGGCTTGTTCTAATAATGTGCATTAAAGTGTTTGTATATTTTTGTTGTTGTTTTAATTTTTTAATTATTTGTTGATTTGAGAGAAAGACAGGAAGGGAGAGAAAGAGAGGGAGGGAGAGAGAGAGAGAGAGAGAGAGAGAGAGAGAGAGAGAGAGAGAGAGAGAGAGAGAGAGACTGATTTGTTGCTCTTCTAATGTTTGTATCCTCTGGTTGATGCTTGTGTGTCTTGACCAGGGATTGAATAGGCAACCTTGATGTCTGGTTAAGATGCTCTAACCAACTGAACTACCTGGCCAGGGCCAGTATGATTTCTTTTTTAAAATGCAGGTTTTTCACACTTGGGGATTACTTGTTAAATTAAGTTTTAAAATCCACTCATAGGGCTTTAACATGGTTTGTCTGAGTCAGAACTTTATAAAACTCTTGTATTGACATCTGGAATGATATTAGCTTAAACTATTAGATTAATTATTTTAGGACTCATCTAACAGCTAAACTAATAGATTAAGTAGTTTAATCATTTTAACTAATAATTTAAATGCACGCATATTAGTTTTATAAAATGACCCATTTTCTGCCGCTGACAAATGCAGCTTACAACAATGTTCTCTTTACCTTCTATGCTTAGCATACTCCAGGTTTCACAAATACAGAGAAATCTGGGACTCACAAAATATAAGATGCTACTTCTCTAAAATGCTCTCTTGTTTCTTAAAAATAAAGAAAAAAAACAAACAAAAAGAAATTCTATTGTGATACATTGTGAGGCTTATGGTAACTGTGTTTGCCTTTCAGATCCCCAGCTCAAGGGTATAGTGACCAGGTTATATTGCAGGCAAGGCTACTACTTGCAAATGCACCCCGATGGAGCTCTCGACGGAACCAAGGATGACAGCACTAATTCTAGTAAGTGACAACTTCAGACCACCAGTTATGTTAACACAGTTGGTAGAAGACATGCTGCTGACTTTTTAAATAATACATTTGCAATTATTTGGTTATGTTGGCTCATTTTTACAGTGTTACAGCTAGAATAACATTTACAATTTTACTTGGACCACATGGATGAAAATATTAATAGAGCAACGAAAGAAACCTGCTACTTTAAGATAACCCTGTTCATATTTTAAGTATTTTTCAAACAATTGTCATCACTCACATATTATTATTACTTTTAACCTCATTGTCATAAAAGTCAAATAAGTACCCTAGAGCTTTCAAATAGAAGTTGGTTACATGTTTACTTTGGAAGTGTTATTTATATCAGGAATGTAGCTTATTAATGATAATTCTGGAAACTCAAGGGATACAAATTGGTTTAAATAATAAAAATTTAATTTTTAAACATTTGCATTCAACAAGAAAGGATCTCTTTATAGAAAGGACTTGAAGGCTGTGTGCCTCTAAATACATTGTATATGATGTTTGCCTACTATATAGAATTGGGTCTGTGATAAGATTTTTTAGTAAAAAGCCACACACTTCCTATCATATCAATGTCTGTCTTCATTTTACTATTTTTTATATATAATTTTCTTGGTATTTGTATTCTAGTGTCTCTCCTTATTCATTTTTTTGTGTGTTTTTCTTTCCCATTTTCTATTTACCTGGGCATCTCATTCCTTTTAATTTAGCACATCAGTTCTAAAATAGACACACTTTGTACTGCTCAGGAAAATTAGTGAAAAGCAAAACCTTATTTTATTAAAAATATTTAACCATATATTACCAATGGATCAGGAATGGATCTAAATCTTTTCATCCATTTATCATTTATCCTTTTTTTAGTTACTATTAGTGCTCACCCAAGGATATTTTTCCCGTTGATTTTTTTTTTAGAGATAGTGGAAGAGAGGGAGGGAGGTAGGGGGTGGCGGGGGGAGAGAAACATCAATGTGAGACAGACATTGATTAGTTGCCTCCCACATGCGCTCAGACCTGGGCCAGGGATTGGACCTGCAATCCAGGTACATGCCCTTGACCTGGACCTTCAGTGCAGGGGCCAACGCTGTAAACACTGAGATTTCTGGCCAAGGCTCATTTATTCTTTATCGAACTTCATTTTGAATGCATGTAAACCAATTATAGGCATTTTTATAAAATTTTAAATTCTAGTAATCAAAGTTTCACTAATACTGATTCTGATAGCACCTAATCATATGAAATAGAATATTTTTGCAATTGATACTACTATGTGAAATATCAATATTTTTAAAGCCACTGTGTTTATTTTTTAAACTTGGATATTGCTTCATTTTTCTTTTAACTTTAAAATTCTTTTTGACTTATCTACACTTTACTCTTTTTCAATTTCTAATAGTTTTCCCTTTATGTATCTATTATATCATCCTTTTATATTTTTTAACTTTTCCCTATTATATTTGCTCATTGGTTTATTTTTTTATTTCCTTTTATGATTTAAGCAAAAAGAAGGGAAATTAATTCAGACAGAAGAAAAAGGAGGCATTTTTATTAAAAGATCAGTGTCATTGTTTACTTGGCATTTTTATAATTAGGTTGAATGTTTTAAAATTATCGGTACTTGACCATCTTTGTCCTGTAAAAGATGTCAATTTCTCCTGGTTCAAGTTCACACATACATCTGCTCTTTTTTTTTTTTTTTTTTTAAATCTTTAACTCCTTGCCAATAATCTCAAAAAAGGTGTTCCCCTTTTCTTACGTCTCACAGTTATGGGGGTCATGAACTTTTGATATTAATAAGTTCTGATGACTTCAATGTTCTCTGATTTCCTTTGACCAGAGTCTAGTAGAGCAAAGGAACTAATTTTCCTAACTCTGATCGCTACAAGAGCTGACTCTCTGATTTATCAGAATAGAGGCTGTTGTCATCTATTACGACAAAAGTTTTTTTAAAAATAAAATAAAATATAGCTGTAGAAGATGCTGCACAATTGGAATTCTTAGAAAAATAATTTCCTTCAAATGAATGTTTTATGATTTTTTCCTACCTTCTTCTTTGGTTTTTATAATGCCAAATGAATTGGTTCCTTTTAGTGATGAGAATCAATATCAGATTCAGAATGGTCAAGTAGACTTCGTTTAAAATAATAATCCTTCAGAATTGAAGAAGTAGCACAATATTTTCTAAATTGTAAAGTGCAGATGTAGACATTGTATACGTCCATGCATAATTATGTCTGGTTATCTGAATAATATCACACACTAAACTGGAAAGCTCACATACTCAAAGATACGTGACTTGCTGTTCTCTAAATGTATGGGGCTTCTTTCCTCCTATTGTGTAACTGCATTAGAAGGAACAGAATCTCTTGGTAACTCTTGAGATCACCTCTTATCCCCTTAAATGCTGCAGATGAACAGTTTTGGGCATGAAGCAGGGACAGAAGCCCCTGTGTAAAAGCAAACCAGAACTAAATCACATTGCCCACACTCACGGGAGTGAAATTCTTTATATATATATATATATATTTTATATAAGAAATTATATATATATATATATATATATATAGATAGATATAGATATAGATATATATATTTGATTTTTTACAGAGAGGAAGGGAGAGGGAAAGAGAGTTAGAAACATCGATAAGAGAGAAACATCGACCAGCTGCCTCCTGCACACCCCCTACTGGGGATGTGCCCGCAACCAAGGTACAGGCCCTTGACCGGAATCGAACCTGGTACCCTTGAGTCTGCAGGCTCTATGCACTGATCCAAACCGGTTAGGGCAAGGGAGTGAAATTCTTATTCTAAGATCTGGTCTGCAGCTTCTTTTCTTACAAGTTACATTGCATTTTTATGCACTGTAAGCCAATTTGGCTAGTTTTGTTACCATTTCAACACTTGCAGAGCCGTAGCAGAACAGTATAAAGCAGGGTGAGACACAGGTCCTCTCCTCAAAAGGCTATAAAAATTGTATAACTATAAAATTTAATAAAAATTGGCAGAATTATAGCAGCTTTACAAAAGCAATAGAAATTGCTAAGTAACTCTACTTTTGTGTACTGTCACCTTTTGAACTAAAGTATACAGTTTTGTTAATGATGAATTTGAAGATATTTTCTTTTCTTGGGTTCATTGCAGTAGTCTTATGAATCTTAAGAAAATTGTTAGTCCAGAAAGGTATTCTTTAACTGAGAGTGAGTATTAGAGATAGTTCCTGATGAAAGCGTTGTCCTTTTGGTTGGAGGAAGGGTGTGATATAATTTTTCACCAACATGTTTCAGTTTTATGATAATTCTCTGAACACAAAGCAAGGATTAGTCATCCATAATTAGGGAAAATAAGGAGAAATAGCCGAAGAATGGCCCTGATGCCACCCAAATTTACTAACAGGACAAGCCTGAGGCTTAAACCTTCAAATCTTTGTGATTTGAGTTCAACGCATATCCCACTTTTAAATGCGAAATTATTTACAACTAGACAAAGTCAGAACCACCCTGCTAAGCTGCATTTGTCATAGTTTTTAGATAAATTAAGAAGAGGGAAAAGGCCGGCAGTTAGGTGAAGCCGATACTAATGTCGTCCCAGGGTTTCCAGCCTGAGATCCAGGAACCTCTGGGAGGAAAAAGTGGCGCAAAAAAAAAAAAAAAAAAAAAAAAAAAAAAAAAAAAAAAAAAAAAAAAAAAAAAAAAAAGTTGATAATAGAGAGGATGCTGCAGCAACTTGACTGTTTACCACTGACTTCTTTATGCCCTTGAAGGATCTTTCACAAGATGAAGTGAACACTTGGGTTGCTTCATGACCACACTAATTTTCAAGGGGCACTTCCTTAAAAATCTTAGTGCTTCCCTTCTACCTCCTTGAACTATGAACTATGGTAGGTAGTAGTACCATGAACTATGGTATTTGGTTAGGGAGTGGTTTTCTTCTCTTCATTTTGCTTTTGGGGCTGCCATGCAGTTGTTTTTTTATGCTGCCAAACTCCATTGTTCCAGTTACCAGACCTACTAGATACTGCAAGCAGAGTAGGACTACAGAAATATCAATATGCTAGTAACTACAGCAATGTTAAAACCTCACACAAACCAACCCTCTCACCTTAGAAATTCTCAACATAATACCTTGATATGTAAAAATTGTCGATAGCTCACAGTTACCACCACCCCACAAGCCTTAGGATGGCGCTTCTCATCTTGGCTATATCTTAGGGGCCTTTGGGGAGCTTTCAAAATAAATGGATTATGCCCTATACCCACTTCCTGAGATTCGATTTTATTTGGGATTGGACATGGCTGTCCTAGTTTTACTAGGAAAATACAGCCAGCGTTGAAAATCACTACTCTGCGGAGACATAGAGTATTCCACAGAGTAAACAAAATAGCATGGACTTCTTCATTATTTTCACTCCCCTAAACTTTGTGGCACTGCTTTATAATTATGTATAATACAAAAAGAATTAAAAAATACAATGATGTCTCGATTAATGTGGAGACCCGTGGCTTTAATTAGCACCATGTATCCAACATGGGCAGTTCTGGATGGTCTTCCACATGACAGTGATTATTGGATTCACTTCTTATTATCATTTCATACATGATAACTTGTATTTATAATTCAGGTCCAAAACAAAATCCTGGGAGAAAAACCCAGTGTGTTAATTTTAGTATGGTCATTTTAGACTATCCTTTATCATTTTTATTTTTCCCACAACCCTTTATTTTGGTGAGTTCGTGAATTATACCAACTGGTCTATACCAAATATATGGAACCTACAAATACCATTAGGGATATGAAGCTTAGAGTATTTAAATATATTAGGTTAGACTAGTTTGTCTGGTCAGGCATACAAGTATGTTTTCCCCCAAAAAAGTTTTGCACATAAATCAGGAATTATCCTGGTGCCCATCCTTTCAAATTATGAGGAAGGCGGAACAGTTCAGATGTTCGAGACAAGAGTGAAAATGGCCAGTGGTCTTCTACAAACAAAGAATACTAAGAGCTACATAGTATTCACCAACTCCACATTCATGTTTAATATTAAATAATAGAAATAAGCAAATATAAGTCTCATTCCTCAGTTTGAACAGCCCAATGTTAGTTTGTATCATGAAAGCTAATGATCTACCTAATCATATATGCCCCTGAGTATTCTTCTAGGGAAAATTACCTACAGCCATCACCTGCCTTTTATCAGTTGTGTAGCACAGACATCTTTGGATACTGGGATCGGGATGTAATACCTGGAAGAGAAGGTGTAACTTTGTCTACCCTATTAAAAAATATGCCTCAAAATTAAATAGAGCACGATATATATCTACATACTGAGTAGACCCATAGGTTGAAGTCAAAATTCCCCACATTTTTCAAATTATTTACCTTTTATGTGATACAGCTGATAAACAAAAAGTGACAATATTTTATACATTTACTTCAACATTTTAATTTTTTATTGACTATTCTGGCCTGGTTCTATTGCTTAGGATTACATGTAAATTAAAAAGAACTTGGATGGGAGCAGACAAACTCACTGTGGATAATTAATAGTTCTCTTATAAATGTATCTATAATAAAGTCTCCCAAATCATCAAATGATTACTAAACATGATGCCAGAAAACCCACTAAACAGTCAACCTGTGACACTGGCATGGAAGTGTGTTAAAGAGATGTTAAGACTTTTAAAAAACCAATATAACATTACTATCTACACTCTGTAAAAAAAAAACATATAAAAACACTTCTTTGTCGATAAGGGAAGAAACAAAACATGGTAATAAATGATTTCTTTTTCTCTAAGGTGGGTAAAATTGAGAACTTTTTCCTCTTTTATTTTAGTTTTCACTAATGGTTTTATGACTATTAATAAAGAGCATTGTCTTTCTAAAATTTGCATTGCATTCAGTTTGATTAGTTCTTTCTAGATTTAGCACATTATCAGATGCACATCTTTCCTGGGCTCTGCTGGGTTATCATGTTGGTTCAGCAACAGTAATTGAGTTTTGGAATTACCTTTTTAGCTCTGGGCTGTGCTACATTGCAATGATTAAGCACACCTTCTGCAGGAAAGGCCAGGATAAACAGTCAACTTGGACTTTTTAAATTTTCCTCTTTGAGAATCTTTACAGCTGATTACTTTGGTATCAAGTGGTGTCAGAGACTGTGATACTAGAAGCATAATTACAGGCTTGATTCTGCTCATTTTCCCACCAGCTCTTCAAAATGCTATAGGCAGACTGCTAAGATCTACAAACTAAAGTTCAAGTGCTAATACTATTCATAGCAGACACTTCTTAATTATAAAGAGAAATAAAAGTTAGTTAATTGGAACTTCTCAGGAGGTTGTAACAAAGATGATGTTTCTTAAATAAAATAAATGAGAGGTCGGTGATGGCAGTGCTTTGCTACTTTCTGCCCATTTGTGACAGACCATGTTTATCTTTCCAGCACTGTTCAACCTCATACCAGTGGGACTGCGCGTTGTTGCCATCCAGGGAGTGAAGACAGGGTTGTACATAGCCATGAATGGAGAAGGTTATCTCTACCCATCAGTAAGTAACATGCCGTAGTCTTTGGTCCTTCTTTCAATGTTTTCAAAATAACAATAGCAATAGCAGCAATAACAAAATGAGAAAGTCCTGTCTATTGCCTCTGCCATTTTTTATCTTTGCTGCAGTGTTGTGGGAGCTGTTTATTCATTATTCATCAGTGTTTGTTAATATCAGCATATCAAGCAGCAGAATGACGTTATTACCTTATAAAATTGTGTATTTGCATATTTTAAAAAGTGACCCAGTTTATAGAAAATTGAGCAATTTTGAAAGAGTTGATGTTAATATAATCTTTTTATTTCTATTTAGAAATGTACTTGTCTTTGAGAACCTCTTGTAAAAGATTATTTTATAAAAAGAGAAAGAATTAATGTGAATTCTGAAAAGAGAAGAGAAACATTTAAAGGGACTAGTTTTTTAAAAATAAGAATTCAAAATGTGTAAGCATTGTACTGGGAACATCTCATATCAAAATGTATATTGCTTTTAACTCTAAGCAAGCCTCCTTGTTTTGTGTTTATAAAGTTGAGCACTATCCCAGCCATATAACCTCTTCTGGAATATTTACTCTTTACAAATAATTTGCATTCAGATGTGCTGTATACATACATTATAATGCTGTTAAGAGTTAATTTCTGACACAGGTTCCAGCATTAGAGACCTAGATGAAAGTACTTCTTTCTACTATCCTTTGAGCAAAAAATCAATAGATCAAAGTCATAGTGCCTCAAGGAAACATGTTTTTATTTGCTTTTGTTGTTGTTAAATACTAGTTCTGTTGTTGTTAAATTACATCATCAAAAAAACTACATGTAAATATACACACACACATTACGCACAGGCACACACATGCACACAGAACTTAAGCAGAAACATTCTCTGCGGCCTCCCATGAAATTTGATAAATTTTCTTTAAAAAATCTGGAAAATCTGTCAAAGAAAATAAAATGTGAGTTGTGGATTCCTTTTGTGGTGAGGTGGGGAATGCTCTTGTTAATTTGGAACCTTCTTCTGAGTTCCCTGAAGGTGTTCCTGCATGCAGACCTGGCCCCACATTATGCAAATTGCATTCTGTTACATAAGATGAATATTCAACATCTGCAAGCATGCTCAAGCTAGAATTCCCTGTCCCCCTTGAGGAAAAATTCGATTTAGAGGAAGATCATTTTCTAAAGATGCTTATTTCAGATTCAAATCAACTTTATTGATTTGACATTTATTCTGTTACTTTTGTTTCCCTTCCCCCAAGTGATCTTCGAGATGCCTAAAAAGTATTAGATTTGGTATCTGCCATAGCCTCTAGTCCTTGGTTTCTGTTGATGATTTTTTAAAATTCATATTTATTGTTGAAAGTATTGCAGATGTCCCCTCCCCCCACCATTGACCCCCTCCCGAGATCACATTGTTATGCTCTGGTATATGTGTTGATGTCAGGAGAAATTTAAATGCTTGTTTTACTTTTGCTACTGAGAGAGATACTTTATATTTTTTTGTGATGAGGTTGTGCAAGTGTGCTATTTTTTTTCAAGGTAGGAGTATGTGCATTGGCCTAAAATACAAGGGAGTCCTGGTTATATTTGTTGCAATGTAAGCAGTGCAGCAGGAATAGAAGTGAGGAAGGCACCAACTGACTGGCCCAGTCTTTGGCATCTTAAACAGGGCCTCCCTGCCCAGGAATCACATCTGTTGGCAACAGCCCTGCCCCAGGAATTGTCCTAATGACAACTTCAGGCATATCCTCTACTCTCTACTTTCTGATTCTCCTGTTACTTGGTTTCTGGACCATCCATTGGTGGCTTGATTCTCTGCTTTGCAGATCTCGGTTTTCTCCCCTTCCCATCTTTGACTCTCTGCTCCGAGACCAGGATCTGGAAAGAGGAACTCTATTCACCCAACCCCTACCCTAAGAGATCCCCTCTGCCCAGACCAGGCCCTTAGCATCCTCAACCATCTTGTAGGAAAAGAACTTAGATAAAAACCAAATGAAATTTCCAGTTTTTACTAATACTGCTTAGTTAAAGTGCCCTGTGTATTTCAATGTAATAAAAATTGAAGTTCAAATATTTTGGCAAAAAGAATGTTTTCCCTCATTCACTCACTTATTCCATAATTAGTTCCTGAGAGCCTACTAAAATAATAATATAACAGCACAACACAACAATTATTATACTATGTAATAGTAGTTCTACTTGTAAAATAATAATGACCACTATATGTATATAGTGCACTCTGCCTAGCACTGATTTCAGCACTTTATAGGTTAGATCATTCCATCCTTACAGCAACCTATCAAACAAATACTGTTAAAATGGTGATACTGATGTACAGAAAGTTTGAGAAGCTGTGCGAAGTCATCCAACTAGAGCAGACAAGATTTGAGCACTATTAGTCTGACTCTAACTGTTACTTTTTAACTGTTTCACTATACAGTATTGCTTCCATGTGCCAGACATTTTCATAAATGGTCTGGCACCTATTCTAATAACAACTTATAAGCATGTGATGATGTAATGAAAACCGTTAGGGATTTGGTACCTTGGGAAGTAACTTCATTTTAGATATTAAAAAGTATAATTTGAAATAATCTGTTTCCTTTGTAGATTCTCAAATAAAACAATACAAATCATAGGAAATTCTATTTATTCAAGAAATGTTTGATATTAAGTACTGGGTGTTAAATATTCTTAAAGTGTATTACATGTAACATTTGGGCTTTAAATGTAAAAGCCAGGGTGGCTAACCCAACTAAGAAGTTTTGAACTAGGTTGAGTAAATTTTTTTAAAGGAGAACTCCAAGCTCAGGTTTAAAGAAAAAAGTTAATAAAGATTTAAGTCTGGGAAATGAAGGAATCTGTTTTAAGCTTATACCCACTTTAAAATGATCAACTTAATGTTTGTGGAGTGTAAACCAATGTCTAATATGGGAGCAATTTTATTGAGAATGTAGGCAATAAAAAACTCAAAGCAAAGTGAATTATGTTAAATGAAAATCACACTAGTGATCTGACTCAAGGTAGATATATTCCTCTGCATTTCAGGAAGTAACTCTCATCATCCCTTGCCATCCAAATAAAGATATTTGTCAGGTAATTCTGCCTCAGTGGGAAAAAACAGTTATCTGACTGAGATGTAAATATCACCTTTCTTATGCTGAAGCTACTTGTCACCTATGGAATCTTTTCTTTAATATGACAGCAGTGATATCATTTGTGGTCATAATGATTGTAATATGTTCCTTGAAGATGTACCCCAAGAAATTTATTGTCAGATATAAACAGTTTCTTTGAAGGTAAACTGCAATGTTGCAGAACAGAAACTGACAAGGAAATACTTCGTTAGAAAATGAGTCTGTAGTGGTATTTAGGATAAAAATGTATTTTGATTAACTATAAACTATTTATGGTGCTGTAAGGAACAGTCAAGGTTTTTTTCCTCTTCCAAACAACCTATGACTTAGACTAAGAGACTCAATCCTCTGAAGTAAATTCTGAACACTGAAGAAAAACATGAAATGAAAAAAACCCCTGTCATTCCTTATTTGACCAGAGATAAAGAATAGTTGAAGTCATCCTATCTAATAAAAGACAAAAAAAGTAATTAACCATACCTCTGCTATGCTTTCCATTGCCTAATCAGGGCAATATGCAAATTAACTGCCAACAAAGATGGCGGCCGGCAGCCACACAGCTGAAGCGAACATGAGGCTTGCTTGCTCCAGTGATGGGGGAAGCCAAGGTTCCCTGCCTGCCAAGGCCCGGCTCTGAGCCTGAAAGCAACAATGTTTCAATGATAGAAGCTAAACAAACACTAGTTACCTGCTTTCAGCCAGCCACGGCCTCAGAGCTGGGAGCACCATTGATGGCAACAATGTTTCAATTATAGAAGGTAAATAAATCCCAGAATAAAAAGAAAAGAAAAAAAGGAGAGGCTGGGAGCTCAGTCGCTGGCCAGCCTGAAAATGGCCCTCAGCCCCTCATCCAGGCTGGCCAGGTACCCCAGCAGGACCCCCACCCTGATCCGGGACACCCTTTGGGGCAAACCAGCTGGCCTCCACCCGTGTACCAGGCCGCTATCCTTTATAGTGAAAGGGTAATATGCAAACTGACCCTAACAGCAGAAAGACTGGGAATGACTGGTCACTATGACACACTGACCACCAGGGGGCAGACACTCAATGCAGGAGCTGCCCTCTAGTGGTCAGTGTGCTCCCACATAGGGGAGCTCTGCTCAGCCACAAGCCAGGCTGGCGGCTGCCAGTAAAGCAGTGGTGGTGGGAGCCTCTCCTGCCTCCTCACCAGCGCTAAGGATGTCCAACTGCAATTTAGGCCTGCTTCACGCTGGCAAGTAGACATCCCCCGAGGGCTGCCAGACTGCCGGAGGGACGTCTGATTGCCAGCTTAGGCCTAATCCCCCAGAGAGCAGGCCTAAGCCAGCAGGTGGTCATCCCCTGAGGGGTCCCAGATTGCAAGAGGGCACAGGCCGGGCTGAGGGGCCCCCCACCCCCGAGTGCACAAATTTTTGTGCACCGGGCTTCTAGTTCTGATATAAGAAAGAGGGGTAGGGAGGAAGGGAAGGAAAAGAGACTGATATACAATGGGGAAAGTCCTGTGCTTTTATCAGAACACCTGGATCTTGGATCTGACAGCAGATACTTGTGTTATAATGTCGCAGATACTCTGGCTCTCAGTCTTCCCATCTGTACAATGAAAGGGTTTCCCTGGATGCTTTAAGTTAATTTTGAGGTTTAAAATTCTGGTGTTAGTCTGATTGATTTTTCTGGATGATGAAGTAAAAAATGTACATAAAATGTGTAAAGATTCGTTAGTGCTGTCTTACCACTGGCTGGCATTTATGAGAATATTAGTTTCCAAATGGTGCTCTAAATGTTTCTGTTACCTAGAGGCTGCCATCTGGGAGGCAGTAAGCCCTGGTATTCTCCTGAAATTAATATTGCATTTGAGTCTAATAACCAAGAGATACAAGTAGAGAGGAAGATAATC